ATATGTGTTTGTGGGTTTTTGTTGGTTTTTTCTTTGGCAGCTGCCCAGGATGGTGATCTGAACCCTTGACCTTGGTGTTATCAGAACCACGCTCTAATCAACTGAGCTAATGTGTTTTGAAGATATGTTTTTAGATACATTCAAGTTTCAAAATCTTATATCTTTCTGGGGAATTGAACCCTTTATCATGATGTAGTAACCTTCTTTATCTCTAATAATGCTTGTTTCCTTGGACTGTACTTTATCAGATATTATTGTGGTTATACTAGTCATCTTTTGGTTTTATTCCTGGTACTGGAATCACTGTGGCTTTTCTCCAGAGTGAGTTTGTTTTGGCTTTTGCAGGCTGCCTTGAGACATTATTACCCTAGGATCTCTTTAAGTTGAGTTCAACCCTTGAAGTTTTCTGACTACACAGATAGCACAAAAGCAGAAAAAAACATTTGTGGGACTGTCTCGTGGTTACCAATTCTGGGGGCAGATATAGTTTGTTTCTTCTCTATCCATTGCTGAGATAAAAACAGGCAGGTTCCTTTGCTGTCCTTGTTTGTGTGTTGGTTTATTTCTAGCTCACACCCATGCAGAAGTTGTAGCCTGTTGTGTTTGTTTGTATGTGGGTTTATTTCTAGCTCACACTCCTGCAGAAGATGTAGCCTGTTGTGTTCTCGGTTTAATGTGGGGATCTCCTCTGTGATGGCTCACTTTGGATGGTTCCTAGGTTCTACCTCCTGTCTCTTGCATACCGCGCAGCCATCAAAAACCATTCAGGTTCCCAGGGTATAGCAGATGTCCTCAGGGTAAAAGCTGGCTTTCCCATTTACTTACTACCTCCCATACTTTCCAGTTTATATTTGTTTTTGGTCTTTGGAGAATTTCTACTTTCTTGCTAGCATAGTGATTCATTTAGAAAAAATATTTTTGTTATTTTGTCTATCATTTTAAGCTATTTTTATTGGGAAGGCCATTCTGGGTGCTCTTATAAAATAAAAAATGAATATCTCGATCACTTCTTTCTCGTAAACATAATAAAATCAGATTTTATTGCTTGTGATTTTTATCTTGTATAATCCAAAAATTTTGAAATTAAGTTAAAAGATGATTCAATATAAATCTAATTTTTAAATGCTGCTCTTCTTCCAACTGAAATCACTAATATCAGTGAACCAGAAGCCTGACTTAGGATTCTTTTCACTCCTTTACACTGTGTACTCTGGAACTAGGATGTCAGGGTGAGGAACCACTTTTGGTGTTTTTAAAATAATGATTCTTGAAAATAACTCAACTCAAAAAATACTTTAAGTTGCTTTTGGAACTCTGAATTCACACAACTAAACACCTCTTTTGTACTTTATATTAGTTTTCTGTCTTTGTAACTTCATAAATATTTGATTAAGGTTAACAGTTGTTTTCTATCATCAAATTATTTAACTTTTCTCTGCCTCAGTTTCCTCTTATGTAAAATGGGGCTATAATAGCACTAACCATGAGAGTCATTGTTAGGATTAAATAACTAGTGCCTGTAAAGACCTCGTATAGTGTTTGGCACTTAATCATGGAATGGCTGGTAGCTGCTGCTGTTGTTATCTTCAGGTTCAGAATTAAAACAACTCTTATTTTTTTCTAATGCATTTCTCAGGTACGTGCCTGTCAAAGATCTACTGGGAATTTATGAAAAACTCTACGGTCGACAAGTCATCACCAAAAATGTAATTGTTGACTGTACATACCTTCAGTTCTTGGAAATGTGAGTGCAACCCAGAGGAAAGTTTACAACTGATTTTTTTTTTTTTTTTTTTAAAGATGACCGGTAAGGGGATCTAAACCCTTGACTTGGTGTTGT